CCATGTTGGAACTCAGCCAGATTTGTAAATTGAAATGTTCTCTGTTTAATAAATTTCACATAAGAGAATAACAGATAAGTATAGAAGGTTTCCATTAAAAAAAGACATTTGACGTTTTCTACTGGGCAAATTGTAATAACACCACATAGCCTTCTTGAAGAGTCCTCCTGTAACTTGAACTTTAGGGTCAATTGGCCAGAGAGATTGAGCAAGAGAGAGGAATCTGCGTGCAGGTGATCCAAATAAGGTTAGGAGGCACAGCTCCAAAAAGAATAAATAGCATCCAGATGGATAGTTAGCTGAAGATGAGGTGTTTTTTTTTTGTTTGATTGTTGACCACATTGCAGGGGCATGTATACTGGCAGAGAGGAGTACTTTAACTGGAACCCCCTTCCTTAAAAAAAAAAAAAAACCCTTCTAGAGAGCCGTTTGGAAATGTTAAATGCTTTGCACTAGAGCCCTCACCTTTTCTAGCCAGTATGACCAGTGGGATATGCTGGCTGGGGATTATGTAAGTCATAGTCCAAAAAGGAACCTTCCCATGCTCTGTAATGAATTGCCACATATCTAGAATGTAGTTCTTCTTTCTCCCTCCATATCCCCTTCTGTCTCCTGCTCTATGGGGGAGTGGGCAGAAGCTTTCTGATTTAGTAGTTCTTCTTTCTCCCTCCATATCCCCTGAGTGTACAATTCTCTACTAACTTACCGAACAACCAATTCACCACTACATTACAAGGGTGTTTTTTTAAAAAAGAAAAAAACCAACAGGCTTTACATCCTCTCCCCGTTCGCTGCTGTGCCTCAGACAGCAAGATACCTTGAGTGACCCTTTGCAGGTCTGCCAAAGAAGATTAGCAACAATGTGAGGCCAATCGCTACTTATTATTGTCAATTTGCAGTTAATTGTTATCATGCTGAAACCAGTCATCTTTGTTTACATGTAAAAATCTTTATTTCTGCTTCTGACATTTTACCCACTTGTGATCTTCGTTCCTATTCCACCTTGAGCACAGCTGGTTGTTTTGATTTTGAATTTTTAATGTTGCTTATTATTTGAATTAAAGGTCAAGCATGTTTCTAGACATCAGCATGGGCTTCAGTGCCCTGCTTTCAGATAGCATCCACACTTAATCAGACAATCTTCCTTTAGAAAGGACTGCAAAGGCAATTGTAACTATGTCCTTTGTGCTTCCACTTAAAAGAAAAAGCCATGGAGGTAATATATGAACAATAACAACTTCACCTACAATACGTTCCTACTGGGGTACCAGTGTTACCAACTAGGCTATTCATATACGAATGTGAATATCCTCGCACAGGTAGCATTAACTAGGGTCCAGCCTCATGGGGCCGGATGGTCCAGTCACCAATCCGCTAAATAAATAAATAAATAAATAAATAAATAAATAAATAAATAAATAAATGAATGAATGAATGAATGAATGAATAAATAAATAAATAAATAAATAAATATTACATTCTAAAGCAGACCTGGGCAAAGTGCGGTCCGAGGGCCACATACGGCCCACGAGCTGCTCTTGTCCGGCCCGCAGACAGTTTTGAATATCAGAACCATTTATAACTTTTTGTCTAAAGTTGATCAGTTGCTTATCTTTAACATACCACAAAAAAAACTCTTTAGTATTTGTAAAGATTAACAAGTTTAAAATAAAAACTATCATAGGATCACTGTTTCACTTTATTTTTAAGTAAAGTTGGTTCGGCCCCCTAAAACAGTTCAGATTTTTCATAATAGAAATTAATTGCCCACCCCTGTTCTAAAGAAATAGAATGACTGGTAATATGGTTAATTCTTCATTGAACCAAGTAATATTTACTCATCATTTCTAAATTATGGTTTTGGGGTATAATTTGAACAGGATTTGTGGCCATTTGGAGGACAGTTTTCTATTTTATGGGCATTCTTAGGAAACAACAAGAATATAGCTAAAAAGTAACACATTACTCTTAAATAATTTTTAAGGCAGCTGATGCATTACTCTGGAAAATAAACAAGTAGTGGCTAATGTAGTACTTTAAACAAATTAAGTCTGAATCTCATAGAAATGCTGTGTTCTCCCCTTTTTAAAAATAGGTATTTTGCCATTTCATGACAATTTACATAGCAGAACTGAAGGATCTCTACCCCCACAAAAACATTTCACATCAAGTTAAAATGGATGCCTCTTTTAAGAAGACAAAAGGCTTTAATCTGTCTCTAATATTCTAATTTTGCCACAGGGGGGCCATAAATAATGTTGTATATCTTTAATTTTCATGTGATGCAAATAAGCACAATAGTCTTCCTTTGGAATTCCAACAAAAAAGAATGGATGTCTTCCTGCCATTATTTTTCCTTATTCCTTTCCAGTCATTAAAGAATGTGAACCTTCTTTCTGCCCATTTTTAAGCATTCAGTTTATATCCAATATTGGCCTTATTTTTTAAAATAAAATTTAAAGGGTCAATTTTAATATATATCCAAGGAATGTTTCTGGTATTGTATTTTATAGTGGAATATGCAGAAAGCAAAAAAGAGCGTATAGGCTGGAATAGAAGGATTTGAGAGATACAGTTTAAAAGACTTGATGGTTTGTGATGAAATATTGAAATGGGAGCAAAATATATGTAATGGTTAAGGTAGATACTTTCCCCAATTTTTCTAAATCATTCTGCAACATTGGAAAATAATTGTAAGAAAGGTTGTTGATTGGAACTGCAGCTTGCAGTCTGCACTCATTTCCTGATGCAGCAGTGTTTTGGGTCTGAAGTCATCTACAGAGAAATGAAGTTGCTTCCCTCTGTTGTACCAAATGCAAACTGGCTTATTTTTCATGAGTTGTTGCCCTAGGCAAAGTAAAGGCTTAATTTTTACATTCACAGAAAAGAACTTCTCTATGCCTGCCCTCTCCTGAGATAATGTCCTAATTAAGATGTAACTGCAAACTACTGCACTTGAAGGGGAAGATGGTGCATGAGATACAGGGAATGATGCATGTTAGACCAATGATTGTGCATGCTCATTTTCATAACTAAAAACCAAGGTTTGTTAGGAGAATAAGGATGCAGAAGCCATGGCTAATATTCACCCCTCCCGTCATATACATGTGAGTGAGGCTGTTTGCAGCAAATAACAGATTTTGTTTTCATATGAAGGCAACAAACTGTAGTTTTTTGAAGCTGCAATGTGTGCATAAGCGCAGATATAAAACCTGAATTGTGCCAATGTAAGAATGCACCAACAATGTGCATAGGTTTCCTTTCCAATACGCATACACAATGTGTTTTCCACAACGCAATGGTGCATATGACCAAATGAAACATCATATTGCAGGAAGAGCGGAAGAAGGAAGGACTTGTCAATAGTGCCATGCTGGGGCTGTGGATCAACAGCTCCACCTCAAGCCCCTTCTCTGAATGTATTCCTTCCTTGATGTCCATTATACCCATGGTCCCCAACCTTTTTGATACCAGGGACTGGTTTAGTTGAAGACCATTCTCCCAAGGGCCGGGGGGGGGGGACTTCTTATGCAGTAAGTTGTTGGGGGACAGCTTTGAGTCGAGCTCATTACATGTATTGTGCCGGGACAGATGAGCAGTGATCTGGAGCAGGAGGTGAGCTGCAATTGAAGTTTTGCCTCCTGTTAGATCAGCAGCGGCTTAGAACCTAATAGGAGCACAGGCTCCTATTAGATTCTAATGCCACAGGCACGGCTGATCTAGCAGCAGCAGGAGGGGAGCAGGACGCAAAGCTCCACCTCCTGTCAAATCAGCAGCAGCATTAGAATCTAATAGGAGCGTGCTGACAGGAGGCGGAGCTTTGCTCGCTGCTTACCTCCTGCTCACCCGCTCATCTGTCCTGGTGGTCCGGTCCTTCCAAGACCACGGACTGCGACCGGTTCGCAGCCTTGGGGTTGGGGACCCCCGCATTACACATTCCCCTGTGCAAAGGAGAGACATGGGATTCCACACCACTCTCTCCATGGAGGAAAAGAGTCAGCAACCACTTGCAGGAGCATCATTCCAGTGGTATCCAGATCCCTTTGTATACCACTCCTGACCTAATTGGGATGACCACCAGTAGATAAATACACAAGGTTTACTGGGTGGAGCAGTGTAGTTCAGGAACACATTTCTTATTATAGTCAAGAGCAGTGTTTAGGGGTGTGATACTCAATAATTTTTTTTTTTACTCCAACTCACAGAATTCTTGTGAGAATTCCTCAGGCAAAATTTGGTGAGTTTCAGCCCATAGACCCATACCTACAGTTAGTTATATTTTATTTTCCTATAGCTGAACTAATCCTCTGAGGCTGTATAGCATTCTAGATCGTATTTACTGCTGCATTGCTTCCTGGGTACGGTAGTCTTGCTGCCCTTTAGGCTGCCTTTTGAGGAACTCTTTGAGTGAGTTACAAGTGACTGTCTTACAAAAAAAACACTACAGAAAGAGAAACAGCTAGGGTACATATGGATACTAGGGACTCTCTGAAAGGCACTGAATAACCATCCAGGATTCCTAAGTCACTACAAAGTCTGAGATCTTACATTGGGTCCCACAGTTTGCCACTCATGCTATTGTTGTCTTGTAAACTGATCATTGAAATTATTTACAGCCTTATAGCCTATTCCTTTACTAACCAGCCATTGCCCCTTTGTGCATTATCTGTATTTCCACCTGGTCATGGGGCCATGTATAAATATGACAGCCATATAGTCTCCTTCTCATGCCTCGGGAAATGAATGTTATCCAGAAAAGTTCACATAAAAAGGTAACAGTAAATCTTTTAAGTGCCAGAGCATTGTTTTTCTCTAGTGCTATTTTTGTTGGCTTGATATGTTAACAAATAACAGCTGCCCCTTTGATGCACCTGGAATGCACTTTATTGCTACCCAAGCAATCGTTTTTTTCCTTTAAGTATTGTAATTGCAAATTGGAATTTAGCAATTTGCATCTATGTTTTATGAAGTTCTAATTAATGTGGGTTTGGTCTCCACAGGTTCAAACTTTGCAAATGAAGAGCAAATCACTCCTAAGGCAGCTGAGCCTTCTAAAGAAGCACCCAAGGGGGCAAATAGGACTCCACCACAGGCCTCAAATATCACACCAGCTTCCCGCAGAAGTTTGCTTCCAGCACCAAAGACTGCTGCAGCACCTGCTGGTGAGTTTTTCTAGAACGAATGTTGGAGTTAATATACTGTATACCAGAACTTTTAAAAGTTACTTCGGAGGGCTATAGCTCCCCATATCCCAGAAGCTGCAGGATTCTGGGAATTAGAATCCAAAAAAGTAATCTTTCAAAACTCTGATGTATACATAAATTATCCTGGAATATCAACTATGACCTATGCCTAATTTGTAGGCACTTAGATGCCTTTTAACCATGAGGCATCAGTCTCTGTTTTGCAATGTACTTAGTAATCAAATCTGTTCCAATTTCTTTAATATAGTAATTAGCTATTGTGGTTTTAGTACATCCAGACCTCCAAAATTGTTTGCATTACAATAAGCTGCATTACATAGTGGCCACGAAAATTTGCTACAGGCATCATCATCATCATCATCACCACCACCACCACCATTATCATCATCATCATCATAAATAAAGTGAAGCTTTATTAAAGAAATAATCAAATATCTGTTTTGGATCATAAATCCCGTTGATATCTCAGAAAGCGAGTCAGCCATGAATGGTCTCTACTCTCCATTCGTTCTCTGCATGGCTTGGAAAAGTTACTTTTCTGGATTATAAGGCTTTAATGTACCACAGGATATTGTGTCAGTCTACCAGAAAGAAAGGGCACCCCTTTATGTACATCTAGCCATGGATAAAGAACTAATTCTGGCCATATTATGAGTCCAAAAGACTATGGAAATCCACAGCAAAGCTACACTTATTTGGTAAAACAAGGATGGCCCAGTTTGGTTCAGCCTTCAGCTGATCTCATATAATTATGCTGGAATGTTACAGAGAGCCACAGAATGTGTTCCTGGGTAAGAGCTATGCAGCCTGCATCAGAGGGAACTATGAGTTGTGGTCCCCTATAGAAATAATCAAGCATGAAAACATCTGGAAATGTATTCTCTAGATTGCCCATGAGAGTGATTTGTCCATTTCCCCTTGATTTAAAGCGCTATTGGTTATGAAAAATGACTGTACTGAGCTTTTGAGTTGGCTTCCACTGGCTGTGTTCATACAATGGGAAATTTGAAACTTTGCCTAGATTGTATTCCATCTGATTTTAAAATAATAGGCTGCTTTAATACTTCAAAGGAGGTGTTATGTGAATTTTCTGTTTAATTCCAGTCATCTTAAATATCTCACATTCATCTGAAGTATTTCACATAAAACAGATAGGACTAACTTCCAAGTGATGGATTTTGAATGGATGTTCACTGGTTATCTTTTAATGGTAGCCTAATATACTGGACAAATTTTAAAAGGCCTGTAATGGAAGAATCTGGATTCTACTCTGATAATTTGCCTGGTGTGCTAGAGTCTCATTTTGGGTCATTATCATGCTGTGTGTATGTGTATGTTTGTATGCATACAAATGATTCTCACTGCACTAAAGTAAGCCGTAACTAAAGCCTATTTGAATCATTTGAACTTACAGAGGAGTTAATGCACCAAATCCCCACCGATTCAGTAGATCTAAGGCTAATGGAGCTTATGGTGGAAAAGAGAAGTGTTTGGTCACACTGGAAAAGGTTCCTTTGTAGGGGGCAATCGCTCTTAAAATGACCCATCTGTGGGAAAATCACTCCAGCTCAGCCCCAAAAAGTAGTAGCTGTACCTCCAGACCTAAATCAGTTGAAAGTGGGTTTTTTCAGGGTTGTATTTTGCTGCTTATTTATATTTCTGAGCATTACTCTTGCTAAAAAGAAAGATATCTCTCCTGTTCCAGACACGGAGATTCACTGTAGTTTACTGAACTGGTGCTGACAGTTTCCAATAAGATACACATGTGAAACAGAAGTAACCGTAGCCAGCAGGTATAGCTGTGACTCCACATGCTGCATTGTGGGAGTAAAAGAACGTCAATTTTTCTTGTTGCCTTTGATACATACTTTACAAAATAAGAGGAACATAAACCATATGCTACTGGTAATGAACAAGTACTGTAATTTGTTACAACCATAAACTAATGTATGGTTGCCTACATGTTATGTTTGATTTCTATAGTAGAAGAGGTAACTGTGTTAGTCTGTGTTAGCATATCAGGTAAAAACTTATTTATTTATTTATTTATTTTATTTATATCCCGCCTATCTAGTCAATAGACCACTCTAGGTCTATCTAGTCAATAGACCACTCTCTATCTAGTGGTCTATTGCCTATCTAGTCAATAGACTAGTCAATAGACCACTCTCTATAAAAAAGACAAAAAATGTTGTTCCACCTTAAAGACTAACTGCTCTATTTTAATGTGAGCTTTTGTGGACAAGTCCACTTCCTCAGATTTGTCCACAAAAGCGTTTTTCTTTTGTTTTTCCCTTATAAGTTTGATTTCTATAAATGCTCCACATGCAAAACAATCACATCAATTTGTGTTCCTCTTCATAATTTTTTCCTTTTTGAGTATGCTGTATCACACTTTCCTCTGTCAGTTCTTCACATTCCTCATTGTGAGAAAATACACATTTGCATAGCATGAAGTTATGCCTGCACGAAGTGGCCAGGCATGACACCCAAGCGACAAAGACTGGGCAATTCAATGGCATAATCGGTCACATGGTTCTTGTCATAACTGACTGTGCAATATACCTTAAGCTTGTGTAACAACTGAATTATGCAAGCATGGCTGCTTAATAGGATTTCACGCATAATTAAATGTTGGTAACAATCTAAGTACAACTGAAAGAACGACAACAACATCAACAACTGCTGGATGGCTCAGTGCTTTAGGTCTGTGGCTGGGGAGCCTGACATGGGAAGTTCAATTCCCCACTGTGCCTCCTTGACAGGGACTGGACATGATGATCTATAAGGTCCCTTCTAGCTCTGTAGTTCTAGGGTTATGATGAATTTTAAAATGCTACCACAAGGAATGATAAAAGTTTTAAATTCCTATGGAAAGATGATTTTGTGCGTTAGAAGAAATGAGTGTGTTGCCTGAATTTCAACTTTGGGTGAGCCTGCATTGCCAGTTTAGCTATCTCTCTCCAGTCAATAGCCTTCGTCGTCGTTTAGTCATTTAGTTGTGTCCGACTCTTCGTGACCCCATGGACCAGAGCACGCCAGGCCCTCCTATCTTCTACTGCCTCCCGGAGTTGTGTCAAATTCATGTTGGTTGCTTCGCAGACACTGTCCAGCCATCTCATCCTCGGTCGTCCCCTTCTTCTCTTGCCATCACACTTTCCCAACATCAGGGTCTTTTCCAGGGAGTCTTTTCTTCTCATTAGAGAAGCCTTCAGAGGGCATTAATGGGGGGGAAAAGGCAGGAGTAAGTAAAATACTCACTTTAAAATATCTTAGAAATGCATTCAGGAACTATCTGTCCATTCTTAATGCCTAACTCTTGGCCACTAATGACAGCACTGTCTATCAAAAAAAGAGATAAGTATCAGTTAGGGAAGTGTTCAGTGAGTCTGCCAGCCTCTTTTTCCCAAAAGACCAGACAAAACACCAAGAAAGAACTTGCCAGCATTCTTTGGTTAGAAATCAGATCACATTAAGGAGCAGAGGAAGAGAGGGGGAGAACAGGTGATGCACTGAAAGTGAGGAATTGAAATCCATTCTCCCCTCATGTTACATAAAACATATGTAACTTTATGTGAAGTATGAAACCATATACCACCATCTGCAAAACACTGATAGGAAGAGCAGTCTTGATGTCTATTAGGCTCTATAAATGGTGTCTCCAATTGAACTACCACTCCCAGTGCTACCTTGTGAGTCTCAAGTAGCAGTGTAACTCCCAGGGTGCTCCAGGGCAGCTCCCTGGTTGTTTCAAATGAACTCAGAAGCATGCAGACGGGAGCACCATGACAGTAGGGTGAGGTCCTCTACAGACATTTGTGTTTGGGCTCATACTCTCAGAATTCTGCCTGGGCGATTCTGAGTGAATTCTGGGAGTGGGAATTCTGCCTGGGGGATTCTGGGTGAATTCTGGGAGTGAAAGAGCCAAGAATCCAAATGTCCCTAGTCTATCTAGATGAGCATTGTGCACTTGAGTACTACAGCTGTCTAGGACCAGAGATGGGGAAAGTTATATTTTAAAATATAACTTCCAGAATCCTAGAAGCAACATGGCAAGTGGCTTGTCCCATCTCGGCCAGAGATTTATCTTGGGGCCTCTTCCACCTCCTGCTATCGGAGAACCTTTAACTGGAAATGCCAGGAACGAAAACAGAACTATGGCCACAGAAGCCTTTCCTTGGAGAAGGAGGGAAATTTATAGGGAAGGTAGACCTGAATAGGTAGTTCCTTGAATTAAGCATCTGGCTGTAGAACCAGAAGTTGGGAGCTTAATTCCCCACTGTGCCTCCAGGGAAAAGAGCCAGACTATGTGGCCTTGGGCAAGCTGCATAGTCCCAGGATGCCCCTAGAAGAAGGGAAAGGTAAATGGTATTGCATGGTATTGTAAGGATGCCCCTAGAAGAAGGGAATGATAAATGGTATTGCATGGTATTGTGTGCCTTGAAAACCTTGGAAGGGGCCATTATAAGTCAGAGTTGACTTGACGGCACACAATTTATTATAGAAAAAATATCCCAGTTGTTAGTCTGGCTGGCTGCACCCCTGAACTGGCCCTCTTCCCACTGCAAAGTTTTGTTGCAACCTCTACTGGTTAGCACGAGTTAGCATGTAATTTTAACATTACAACGCTTGTGCTGTCTGCATTTTGTTTCTACTACAAAGTTGTAGAATCATTTTTTCAAACAGAGATGCTGGAAAGGAATAGGTTCATTTATGCTAGACACTGAGAGAGCCTTTCTAAATCAAATCTACCACTCTAAAAATGTGATACCTGTCTTCTGTCATAGATCATCATCATCATCTCGCATCAAGTCAATTTTGTTTTATGTACCTGTCTTCTGTCATAGATCATCATCATCTCCCATCAAGTCAATTTTGTTTTATGTTGATCCTTTTTTGGGGTTTTCCAGGTAAAGAATACTCAGAAAAGACTGTGCAGCTTGCCCAAGGCCAGACAG